AAGGGGCGTCAGGGCGTGAGGTAGGGGTTGGGGGTACAGGAGGGGCCTCCGGGCTGAGGTAGGGGGGTTGGGGTGCAGGAGGCGGCTCTGGGCTGAGATAGGGAATTGGGGTGCAGGAGGGGGTGAGGGCTCTGGTTGGGGGTGTGGGCTCTGGGGTGGGGCCGAGGATAAGCACGTGCTCAGGAAAGGGCTGTCCGTGGCACCGGATCTCTCCCCTCCAGAGTCCCCAGGGTTGAGGTCCCAATGGCAGGGGGAGAATGCCTCGCCTCAAAGGAGTGTGTCACACACCAGCTGGCAGGGGCGGGAAGAGCCACCCAGGGCAGCAGTGTCCCCAGGCCCTCTCTTCCTACCCTAAAGCCCCAAGTTTCCTTGCATCGAGGCAGGGGCCCTGCGGCAACTCCCTATGCAGCCCCTCTGTGTGCCCTGATTTGGGCGCTGCTCCCTTCTCCTGCCCTGCTTCCCCTGCCCCAGGCTGTTGCCTTCACAGCACTCCCAGCCCCAAAAGCCTGAAACGCAGCTGAGTGCCTCACAAGGGGGCACTGAACCAGCCCACGACTCATCCTTGCCCTGCCTGGCACTGGATGTCCCCTCAGCGTTTTCATTTCACTTGGGCTAACGTTGCTCTGCTCCCCGAGGGCCTGGGGACTGTTGAATCTAGCGCCCATCACTGCAGTCTGTAGGTGCTCAGAGTAAAGAGACACCCCCACCATTCCCAGTCTGGCCCATCTCCGCTGCTGCTCCTCTGGCAGGGCTGGTGTTTCAGGGTCAGGCTAGATGGGGAGCAGGGGAAGATGCCAGGCCTCCGTTTATTCTTCTTTAGCGAGGAAGCGCTTGGCAAATAAGTGTGTCTTCCACCAGCTCCATCCCACTCCTGGCGGGTTGCATTAGGGATGGAGGAGGCTGGTGCTGGAGTAGCGAGAGGGAGAGGCCAGGTCTAGGAGGTGGGGCGACTCTAGAAGCGGCTTTAAAAACAAGCCCGCTGAATATCGCTTCATAACACAGTCTCCATGCCAGTGGCTCCAATGGTGCACAAAGGCGCCTGGTACAAGCCAAGGGTGTCTCCGTGCCGCCTGGAATGCAGATCCTCGCACTGGCAGGACTTCCTCTTCCTGGTCCTGAACACCAGAGCAAAGCAGCTGGGAGCGAAGCGGGGGGAAAGCTCAGGAGAGGGGACTGGTGGCCGATTGCAGGTCACAGTCAGTTGCCCAAATGTTCATTTTAATGTGACTTCAAAATCAAGCTCAGCCAAATGAGAGCGACGTCCCCCCACAGGAGCACGAGAGAGGGGCTCCCTTCTCCAAACCTCTGGCTGCAGCACGGGGAAACGCGCTCTCCCGTTGCCAAAACAAATTGCTTCCTGCCGGTGAATAGCTATATATCTAATCAGAGCGCTCTGCCTGTCTGCTCAGTGTCTCCTTTTCAGCGTGGCCTTGTAGGTCCTGGAGATGGAACCAACCCTGTTATATCATCCAGCCCATGTCCCCAGGGCCAGCATAGTACTCTTCCCACCAGCGTAATAACACGTGTGACCCAATCAGTGGGGATCCCACCCATTCCCATAGCCTGATACAGGATGTGTCTCCTGATGTCAGGGCCGGCTCTGGCTTTTTTGCCGCCCTACGCAAAAAAGCCACCCGCCGTCCCCCCACCCCACCCCCAGCGCGGCAGGGGAGGGCGCCAAGCAATCCCAGACCGGCCGGAGTGCCGGGGGGAGGGCGGCGAGCCCGCCGCGGCTCTGCTCTCCCTGGCGGCCAGAGTGCCGGGAGCAGGGCGGAGAGCCCGGCTGGAGCTCTCCGCTCTCCCCGGCGGCCAGAGTGCCGGGAGCAGGGCGGAGAGCCCGCCGCGGCTCTCCGCTCTCCCCGGCGGCCAGAGTGCCGGGAGCAGGGCGGAGAGCCCGCCGCGGCAGGAGCGCCGCGGGGAGGGCGGCGAGCCCAGTCGCGGCCCCGCTCTCGGGCCGGAGCGCCCCGTCGCGCCGCCCCCCTCCAGGCGCCGCCCCAAGCACATGCTTGGTGGGCTGGTGCCTGGAGCCGGCCCTGCCTGATGTTCAGCCCATCCCTCCCCTTTATAAAGCCTTGTGCACCCTTAACAATTCTCCTCCTCCCCTGGTGCTTGCAGCCTTCAGATGTTTGTTTACAGTGGAACCTTTGTGCTTTACACAGCCAAGCGACATGTATTTAACATGTTATGGATAGAGCCCCTTAACAGGAGCCAGGAAATGTTTTTTCTTATTTATGATTTCTATTATAGCAGCATTTATAGACCTGCAGCTGAGATCAGGCCGGAGTGTGTGAGGTGCTGTAGCAGAGGCAGTCCCTTCCCCAAAGAGCTATGGAGACAAGACAGCCAATGGCTGGGGTAAAGTTCTCTTCTGCTGTTGGTTCTGTTTTGTTCTCAGGTCTGCCGCTGAGGCCTGTGTAACCTAGGACAAGTCACTTCATATCTCCATGCACCAGTTCCCAATTTGCAGATA